AGAGCATCTGTAGCATGGGGAACAGAAAAATATCCTGTCTCTGGAGCTGAGCTTATTACCAAAAGAACCTGAACCTCCTTACCTTGAAGACAGCTGGAGGGCTAGCTGGATTAGTGGTCAAAGCTTCCAGTCTGAAGCCAGGGGTCTTGCTCTCTAAGAGTGCGTAGTCTAAAAAAAAGGATCCCTGAGGAGTTGGATCATGAGACGATTCTTTAGCAGTAATTTATATAATGTCCAATAATATGGATAACATTAAATGTTCCAAAGTATTGCATATAAGATGGTAATCACCTTTTCTATAATTCTATAATATTGGCCTATCATTTGATTTCCTGTGCATATGAAGTTTGATATGTACTATTTATATCTATCCCCTTTGACTGTTTTTGATCTTACCAGCTGTCCACCGTCTCGGTAAAATTTGTGCACTAGGCTCCCATTTTATTAACACGAGTTGCAATTTTATCTCTTTGAAAATATATGGCATTTTCTGAACAAAGAAATATATTTTTTCTGTCTAACAATAACAAAATATTTTCTATTTCCCACAATTTGGAATCTATATCCAAACCAAGTTTACTCGTGACTTGTGAAATACTCGTGGATGAAGGCTTGCTGCGGTCTGTGGCTTTTGTGTCATGGCGAAATCCCCAGAACATAAACTTACCATTGTAATCAATGTAAAGTGTACAAGTCAGTGACATAAGCGACCACCACCACTGTCTAGCTGCAGAACTTTGCTGCCACCTAAAAAGGAAATGTCATGATTGTTTGAGTGCCATAATTACACGAGAAATTTCATTTATTGTAGCATCAACAGCCCAATACAAACTTAGTAATCTTGGTTCTGAAGTCTCATTCATTTACAGCTTTTCTAAATCACTTTATCGCTAAACTTTTTCTTAACATTTTAGGTTAATCATTTATACAAAGATACCCTTTTCCCAGCATGCCCATCTACAACTAGATTCACTGGATGGGAACATATTAACTTTCGTATGTTTTGCTAAATTTTGTGTTTCTTAAATGCCTGTCTCTAAGAATTTAGCTTTGCATATTTTAATCCAGATAAGGGCTATATGAAGCTGCTTTAGTCAAAATGAGCTCAGCTGTTTTATTTATACATACATTTTAAACACAGTTTTTCAAATACAATGCCAAATTCTTCTCTAGTTTGCTATATATAGAATTACTAATGTTGTTTCATGTCAATAAATCAATCCATACATAGTTATTTCAATAGTTAGTACTTTTCTTGAACTATCATCATACAAGAATTATTACTTCTGAGCCCATTTAATTAGACACAGTGGTTCTCAACCTTCCTAATGCTGTGACCCTTTAATACACTTCCTCATGTTCTGGTGATCTCTAACCACAGTTACTACTTCACAACTATAATTTTGCTATTGTTATGAATTCTAAGTATGTTTTGGCTACAGAGGTTTGTCGAAGGAGTCGCAACCCACAGATTGAGAACCACTGAATTTGAGTCTTTTTCATTCACCCTTTAGGTACTATTGAAGCAAAATCTAAACTTCGAATTGTTAATTTCAGTTTGGTTTATGCAGTTCCTCAACACTTACCTTGCCTAATTTCCCACCTGTATGTACTTTCTACGCTCCTCTCAATTATTTCACTCATGTTATTGGAACATATTTTCCCAACACACACTTTGCTTCACATCACTATGGCTCATTTCCAAGATGCTTACTGTTCAGGGACTATCTAGGTCCCACTTCTTGGAAGCATTTTTTGAGTACCAAAGTTCACAGTAATCTCCCTTCCTAAAATAGGATTTTCTAGTAAGCATGTGCTTGTTCTAATACTAATCATCTATATTTTGAATGCGTATAATAGATCTGCACCTGCTTTTTAAAGTGAAGAAGGGTCATTTATGCCAATTTCAACATCGAACTTTATTGAAAGCACAGACTCAAGTAGAGAACCACATGTTTAAACAACAAAGAGCAGGATAGCTTACTCATATGACTTGGTTCACTGGGAGCTCAACTCTAAAAAATATCACAATCTGAACAGTAAGACAAATATCAACAAATATGTTTTCGGTTCTGATATATTTTGGCATCCATAAATGATCCAGCTCACAAGAGTTTGACAAGTTCACAATAGCATTAAAAATCTAAGTTACAGCACAGAACCAGACTGTGAACACCAAAGCACTATTTGGGGCTCTTTGGGAACATAAGGCTGAGCAGTGGCAGGTGGTTAAACACAATGAATTTACTGTCCCTCCTCGGGGTCATCCTCATCGTCTATTTGGATTTGCAGCCGTTTAGCTAGCTCTTCAAACTCGTGGAATGCAGAAACAAGTGGTTCAAGACAGAAATCTTCATCAATTAAAGACATTGCTCCACTTTTTACAATACTACTGATATTCTGAAACATTTTGATAATAATCTGAATGTTATCATTCGTTTCCTCTACGTTAAAGAGACCCACAAATATGGACAGAGCATTGGCACTGAATAGTTTTTTTGCCACCATAGGATTGTTAGACAAGTTCAACAGCATTTGTAGAACATGAAACTTTGTTCTTTCATTGCCTGTGCTTAATAAGTTGAGAAACCCAGACATGTAATTGGCAATCAGTGTGTGATAATCAGTAGTTATAGTGAGGTGTCTAAGCATCCTCATTCCAGTGAGCTGCTCAGGGGAATCCAAATCATATGCAAGGGTTTCCTCACACACTTGGCATATAAAGGTCTCAATCATGTTTAGATTTGGATAAGGTGGAGCCGTGTGGATCATATTTTCCAAAAAATTAGTCCTATCTCGGGAGGAAGGATAATTCATCAGGGTTTCAATCAGTGAGACAACACCAGAATCTCGAATGAAATCGCGGGTAAACTGAGAAGCAGTTCTCATACCCATTGCAATTTTAGAGATTTCATGGATAAAAGGATCACGAATTTTATCCATTAGCAAAAGGAGCTCCTCGAACTCTGCAGAGCCAATTTTAAGCTCGCACTGTATGCAGCTGCAAGACCAATTCTCAGGGTCTGCACTTTCCTTGGCCTTAAGGTGCTCTCGAATCTCCTGGACTGATCGGTAATTGGGATCATACTGAAATGGGAACTCAGGTTCAGGCAGATCAGGCGGAAGGCCAGATTCCTGCTCTTCCCCTTCTGCACCAGGTTCCTCATCCTTGGCTTTTGCCTCAGTATCTTCAGAATCCCCTTCAAATATTCTAAAAGGGAATTCAAAAGGGAAGCCAAGCCCACAGTAAAGAACAGGTTTGAATTCAAAAGTAACCTCATCCCAGGTTTTGGGCCTGGACGATTCATCAATGTCTTCAGTTGCATCTCTGAACCTGCTCTTATCCCTGTACACAGGGTTAGGATTTAGGTCAAAGCAGGCCTCATCTCTATCCCAGAACCAGGACCCAAATATGGCCTCTTCTTCAGACTCAGGCCTGACCTCATCTCTGGCCACAGCCCCCAAATTGGGCTTTTCTTCATTCCAAAACAAAGCTCCACCAATGGCTCCCTCTTCAGCCCCTGGTTCAGATTCACAGATTGCTGAAGCTCCAGCCTCTAAACTAGTCTCTTGTTCTGCCCAGAACCAGGATCCAATAATGACTTCCTCCTCAAAGCTGGATTCTTGTTTGACCCTGTCACTGGTTTTAACATCATTTTGGTTACTGTTTTTCAAGATGTTATTAGACTCTGCCTTGTCTCTGCGCCTGAACCTACTAGCTTCTTCCCCAGGCAAAAACCACGACTCTTTGTAAAACTCATCTTCAGATTCCGATTCAAAACAGTTCTCTCTCTTTGCCCTGACCTTAGGTCGCACATTTGCCTCTTCGCTGGCTCTGGGCCTAAACAAGTCATTGGTATTTTCTCCAGTCCAAAGGCAGAATGAGTTGCCTGCCTCATCCTCAGACCCAGAGCAAGAATCTTGTTTGGATCGGGGCCCGGAAGTGTCATTAGTCTGATGTTTAGCCCTGTGCCTGGACCTAGTATTTGCCTCCTCCCTTGGCCATGATCTGATACTGGTCTCCTCTCCAGTCCAGATAGAAGACATTGTAGAATTTTCATCTGCTGACCAAAACCCAGACTCATTAGAGGTCTCCTCCCTCACTCTAGGCCTGGGATAACACCAAGAACCTGTATTAGTCTCCTCTCCAGGTCTAAACCAGGGCTGGAGTCCAGCCTGACCCTGGGCCCCAGGAAAGGTTTCCTCATTCATACTGACCAGTTCTCTATCCATAGATAGACTCTTGGATTTAGGAACTGATGTAGACGCAGCCCTGACCAGGGGCCACGTGACAGCATTAGGTAAGGGTGATCTCTCAGCCTGTGACATTGCCTCAGCCCCAAAGTCACTCTGGGCCCACGCCTGGGCATCATCCTTAGGCCGTGCTCTGGGGATTGGCTTGGCCTCAGTCTTAGGGCGAGCACCACCTACTGCCCTGGCATCGGTTTTGGGCCTGGCACCAGGCATTACCTGGGCCTCAGATCTAGGCCTTGCTCTAGCCATTGCCTGGCCATTATTTTTAGGCCTTGTTCCAGACACTGACTGGGTTTCAGATTTAGGCCTTCCCCGAGATGAAGATTTACTCCCAGTTTTACGCTTTGCCCCACTTGTGGCTGGAGCCTGGGGCCTGACTTTGGGTCTGACCACCATAGGGACTTCACTTTCTCCACTGGCCCCACCCATAACCTCTTCCTGAGGCTTCTTATCAGGTTTGGCCTGAGAACCAGTTTCAACTTCTGCCCCAGTCATGGTACAAATTAGAGTGAAGGCTCAACTAAGGATGCCTACCAAAGCTTCAGTCTCAACAAGAGATTTGTCACAATATTGTATCTTCTTCGCACTCTGATCTTTTGATGATCCAAGAGATATAGTGAGTAGCAGAGGTAAACCACCACTCTGGCACCAATAAGATTCCTACCCAAGAACAATCTCAGTCAATAACACAGATACAGTGCAGAAGAGGCGAAACCAAGCCGGAGGAAGATGGACAGGTCCTAGGTGGGCGCAGACCTGTTGACTGCACTGGTCAGCAGCAAGCACAGAATCGCCAAGCAGCCACTGTAGGTGATCTAGGAAGAGAAAAAAGAGCAAGTCAGTCCTATACAGTTCGCTTGCCTCCTGGAGAAACTTACACAGAGACACTGGTGAATGATGGTGAGAGGAACAGCTCAGCTAGGAGAAAACCTCTATGTTCCTCTTGCCTGCTGGAACACAGGTGCAGGGTTGAGGAGACAGTGCACACGCTAGAAATGAAGACAGACGGGAGCCCCAATCTCTCAGTAGCCAGTCTTGTCGATCTCTACTGCCCTCATCTAAACGTGAACCCTCTCCCATACCCACCTTCACCGATGTGGTGCAATTCCCTCCTCTCTTCTATGTCCAGGTGGTGTTAAGATCAACAGCTGACGGCAAGGAGTCCTACAAACGCATAAAAGAAAATGGAGGCTCGGTGCCTGCTACGTGGGCACACATCTCTGAGCCCAATCCAACAACAAAACCATGCCTGCTTTCTGCCTAAAGTTTCTGTTCCCTGGTCCCAGCTCTTATGTCTTGTCCTGTGGATCATAGTCTAATTCACATCTACCTCAACATTCCTAGTAGCTCTGAAAGGAAATAAAGGATGCTATGGCAGTGAGCAAATTTAGGGTCCAGCAAAGACATCATGCATCCTCTTAGGCTACAGCAGTCTGCATCTGCCTCCTGGGTCCTCCACTGCCCCCCCTTCTCACCAACCTCCAGAGATCCGAGACAGTCTCCTCGATGACTGTTTTCTTTCTAACAGAGCTGACAAGACTTTAAGCAGGTCTGTGGACAAAGAGGAAAATGTAAGACAATCAGGAGATGATGGTAGCAGCTGTGGGCAAATTTGGGGGACAGGAAAGACATCATGCATCCTCTTGGGGTACAGCAGTCTGCATCTGCCTCCTCAGTACCTAGGTCTTTCGCTGCCCAGATTCTTACCAACCTCCAGAGATCTTGAGACGCTCTCTTCAATGCTTTTCTCTTTCTTGCAGAGCTGACCGGACTTTAAGCAGATCTGTGGACAAAGAGGAAAATGTAAGACAATCAGGAGATGATGGTAGCAGCTGTGGGCAAATTTGGGGGACAGGAAAGACATCATGCTCCCTCTTAGGTTACAGCAGTCTGCATCTGCCTCCTCAGTACCTAGGTCTTTCACTACCCAGATTCTTACCAACCTCCAGAGATCCGAGACAGACTCCTCGATGACTGTTCTCTTTCTAACAGAGCTGACCAGACTTTAAGCAGGTCTGTGGACAAAGAGGAAAATGTAAGACAATCAGGAGATGATGGGAGAAGCTGTGGGCAGATTTAGGGGACAGGAAAGACATCATGCATCCTCTTGGGGTACAGCAGTCTGCATCTGCCTCCTCAGTACCTGGGTCCTCTACTGCCCACGATTCTCACCAACCTCCAGAGATCTTGAGACAGTCTCCTCGATCCCTATTTTCTTCCTCGCAGAACTGATCAGACTTAAAGCAGGCCTGTGGACAAAGAGATGAAAACGCTAGGCAATCGGGAAATGATGGCAGCAGTTGATCTTCTTGAGAAGAACACCACAAAGGAGAAGACTGTGTGTCTTTCATCATTCAGGGTCCTACTGCTGTAACATTCTAGTTTTATTTTGCCTGGCTGCAGGGTTCCTGAGGGTAACACCCACTTCCTGATGTCATAATCATTAGTCCTGCCATTCTCAAGATCCACCACTAGGTGGCCACATTTCCTTTTCTTGCGCAGCAAAAAATGGGGGAAGGGCGCAGCACATTCTAGAAAGCAGGTTCTGAAGTGGTCCTTGGATTTATGACTCCGTCATCATCCCCAAACCATCTTTTCACACCCCAAATTTGAAAGGGAGGGGAAGGGCATTGGGGAAAGTACCTGAAAGGCTGTGAGAAATGAGATTAGGAGACACTAATGGATATCCCACCTGTCTGATCTGTCATCCCCCACCATTTTCGCATCTCCACTCACAGTCTGGTGCCCACTCCCATTGCCACACACCTCCAGAAATCCAGGTCATTTTTCTCTTCCTCCTTCCTTAAGCCTCTGGTCTATAGATGCTCATTGTGGCCTGTCAGAACACGCAAGACCTACCGCGCAGACAGGAGACTTTGCCATCAAGCAGGAGCCTGTGGGAAGGGATGGCACCCAGGGCGCAGGGTACAAGGGTCCCTCTCCGGAAACAGATCAGCGTCCTAGTAGCTTAGGCGACTCACCACCCCCACCAGCTGAGCTTGCCCCAGAGATGGACACCCGCCCCGCACCCTAGGGCTCCCAGCCCCCCCCCCCCCCATACACACACAACTCCCGCACCGCCATTTTTCCCGCCGTTGCCTACCGCACAACATTTTCAGGGCCTATTCTGACACCTGAAGGGAGACTGCCTGGCTGTCCTACCCCTCCTGCCTCCAGACCATCACAGCCAGCTGCTCCAGCCGCTCCCTAGGCCCGCAGCCCGAGCGGGGTTCCCGCTTCCTCCTCCCGCCTAGCCTAGGATCTCCGGGAACCGCGCACCACTCCGGGGAGCCCCCGCGACCCGCTCGCCCCCACTGCACTGTCAGGGCCGGGCGGTGGTCCGCAGAGCACGGCCGCCCCGAGCCCTCGACACACCCCCACTTGCCTGGCCAGGCGCACGGCCCAGGTCTGCGGGCTTCCCCGCGTCCCCTGTCTGCTTGTCTGCTCTGGGCTGTGCTCCGTCCTCCGCAGCTCTTCTCTCTCTGGTCTCTTGGCGCTTTGCGCGAGTGGAATGGCAGAGACGCGTCCCGCCCCCAGGCCTCTGCAGCAAATGGGCAGAGGCTGTTGTGCAGGATGCGGCAGGCACAGCTCGCCTCGAGGGTGTCGGGAAGGGGGCGGAGGGATATGGCGCACAGGCTTGACGCCCCCGCCTGGGCCCACCGTAGTTCCGACTCCCAGAGGGCGGGGCCACACGCAGCCCAGCTCCCCTGGGGAGGGGGTGGGTCGCACAGTGAGCTCCTGCAGCCCCCTGCTCACCCTAACCAGAGACCACCACCACTTTTCTGGTGCCACTCCAGGGTGGGGGATGCCTGAGAGCTAGGGTCTATGAGGGCTTTGGGGAGGGGGGACTACATGAAGGAGGGTGTCTGGAGTTGGGGAGCAGGAGGCAGCGGAGGGATACTGAGTGGGCCCCTAGGTACATCAGCACTTCAAAACGAGGCTGGACATTGCCTTCCCCTCCCTGCTTCCCCCCTCCACCCACTCATATGACGCCAGTGGAAGGGGGGGGGGACTCAGTACTGCAGCCTGAGAGGGGACAGGTGACCTAGCAACAGACAGCCAGTAGGTTGTTCCTGTTGGTTCTCCCATGTTTTTTCTCACTGGTTCATGCAGCCATGAAGAGAAGGGGGGCTCTTCTGTCTCTAAGGGATCTGAAGTGGGGGCTTCTGTTACATCTCCCCCCTCAACTACCCCTACTCCAAAAGGGAAACAGAGGCAAAGAGGGAAAGATGGAGGGAGATAGGGAGAGAGAGGAAGAGAGAGGGAGAGGGGGAGAGAGGGGGGATGGAAAGAGAGAGGGAGGGAGGGAGGGAGGGAGAGAGAGAGAGAGAGAGAGAGAGAGAGAGAGAGAGAGAGAGGGAGAGAAATACCTTGGGGTTGTTTATTGACTATTGCCCTTTCCCTGTCAGTATTTCAGGGTGTCTTAGAGTCCTGCCTCTGAGCTGTTCCACAGCCAAGTGTTGGGACACAGTTTGGGCCTGTTCAGTTTCCTTGCCAATGGTGCTCTGAAATCTCTTGCCAAACATGTCCAAGCTCTCATATTTGCCCGTATGCAAACGCAGGAGGAATTAACCAGCTCCGATGTCAGCCATGTCTAACTGCCTAGGTTCACGGTATATCTCAGGGAAAGGACCCTTCACGCATCTTTTCTCTTAATACCCACATCTGACTCCTTTTGAATCTTTCATTTTGCTCTATCCACAGAATTCCCTCTGCTCTTCATCCTCTTTTGTCTGTGCTTGTTTGTAGGAAAAACAGCAGTCGCATTAAGCACACACTGAAGCCGTTGGGCTTGCCCACTTAGAAATACATTTAAGCACCTACCCAGTGTTTAGCAAAATAACAAACCATACCCAGTCCATTCCTGTGAATATGTGTTATTTGGCCAAGGAGAACTGAAGTTGCAGGTGTACCTATGGTTCTTAATCGTGGAATTTAACACACAATTATCCTGGATTATTCTCTCCAATATAACTGCAAGTGTACTTAGATGTGGCATAAGCTTCTGTGTTCGAAGCAAGCAGCATGGGTGAAGAAAAGCTGGAAAGTCCATTGTTGGCTTTGAAGATGGGAGTACGGTAGCCATAGAATGTAATCTGTCAGCAGAAGCTGGGCAGAAAACCAGAGAAGATTCTCCTCCCATAGTGATGGTAACAGGAGAGGAACCCTCAGAACATCTTTGCATTACTCTCACCTTTTAAATATAATTTATAACCTCCATAACTGTAAAATAATAAATGTGCCTTATCTTAAGCTACTACATTCATAACACAGGTGCATCTGTCTAGTCCCTGTTCCACCTCTGTGTTCAAGGCATCCTGGTTGGGAAAATTTTTCTAAAATATGTTTCTGTGCATAGCAAACGTTTTCTTGCCAACATTCCCCCACTGCCTGTACATATGTACATAGTACATATAGTCTGTACATAGTATTCAGCATTTTAAGCCTTTTTTAACTAACAATTTCTCATTTTATGTGCATAGCTGTTTTGTGTGTGTGTCTGAAACACATGCTTGCTTAGTACCTGCGGACGTCAGGAACATGGGGTCCCTTGTAACTCGAGTTACAGATGTTTGTGTGCCAATATCTGGGTGCTGAAAATAAAACTCAGGTCTTCTTCAAGGATAGTAAGTGCTCTTAACAGCTGAGAAATCTCGAACCCCTTGTATTCAGTATTTTAAGCAACCCAGAGCAGATGAAGTTATATTGGGGCAAGCACATGCATTATATGGAAATTCCTTGGTGTTTTGTGCAAGTGACTTGAGTTCCCATAGACTTTGATCTCAGGGGGTTCTGGGACCCCTCTGCCATGGATACTGAGGGAGTTCTGTAATTCATTATGTCAATATTAAGAAACTCCTTTCCCATCCTGACTCACTACACTCACTACCGTTTGCTATGTTTCCGTCTCTAGGAAAATCTGGTTTGCACTTCTCAACACTGCTGCTACCCCTACCTCTTCTCTTTTCTCTAAGGAAGAAATATTTTTGTGATGGTCCTTGAAGTTCAACTTGGAGACTGCTACCTTTTTTTTCTTTTTGAAAACAATTACTAATATGAAGGAGAAACCTGCTTTCATTGTGAAGTTTTCTGTATTTCCATAACAGTATTTTTTTTGTGAACAGATATTTGACTTACATTGTTTATATGTTAAGAAAAAAGCAACCCCCAAACAACCCAGGCTGTTGCCAGGGCTAGTTGTTGCTCTTCACAAACTGATGGGAAGGCCCTGCTGCTGAAGACAATATCTCCACAGCTCATTAACTATTGGAGAAGTTGAGCTGGCGCCTACATAGAGCCTTCACCCATCCGGACTAGTGTTCGTGCTACTGAAGGTCCTCTGTATGCTCCTAAAGGAGAAAGGTATACGAGCTCTTCATTCTGCAAAGCTGCCCTGTTTATAACATGCACTAAGGGAGACAGTGACGCAAGCCTTGCGGGAGTAACCAGTCAGTATCTGATTGGATGTAAGGCCTACTCCAGGAGATGGAATTCATACCCGAA